AAGACATTCTTGATAAAAATCTGCAGCCATCTACCAGGATGATGAAAATGAAACAAGGGTGGACATTTCACCAAGATAATAATCCCAAACACAAAGCCAAGGAAACGCTCAATTGGTTTAAAAGAAAAGAAAACAAAGCAGCTAGAATGGGCCAGCCAATCACCTGACTTTAATCTGATAGAAAATCTATGAGAAAAAAAAACTAAAGATCAGAGTTCATAGAAGAGGCCCACAGAACCTTCAAGATTTGAAGACTGTGTGGGAGAATGGGCCAAAATCCCACCTGAGCAATGCATGACACTAGTTTCTCCATACTGGAGGTGCCTTGAAGCCATCACTACCAACATAGGATTTGTACCAAGTATTAACCCCCTGCCTTCCTGAGGATTTACCCCCTTTCCTGACCAGGCCATTTTTGGCGCTACGTTACTTTAACTGACAATTGCGCAGTCATGCAAAGTTGCACCCCAAATTAAATTTGCGTCCTTTTTTCCCCACAAATTGGGATTTCTTTCAGTAGTATTTTATCGCCTGTGTGGGTTTTCTATTTTTTTTTGCTATAACCAAAAAAAAAAAAAAAAAAATCTAATTTAGTCATAAATTTACGCCAAAAATGTATTCTGCTCCATGTCTCTGCTAGAAAAAAAAACCAAAACGTGTAAATTGGTTTAGATGAAAATTAGTGTTTACAAATGCCCTTCTGGCATACAGTACTTTTAAAAAAGGACAGTAGGGCAGCAGATTATGTGGGGGTCTGGCTACCGGTCACATGATCAGCAGTCCTTCCTGCCCCTTTGGCATGCAGTACTTTTTAAAAGGACAGTAGGGCAGAAGATTACATGGGGGGGGGGGGGGCTGGCTACCGGTCACATGACAGCCTATGATAGTGGTCACATGATCAGCAGTCCTTTCTGCCCCTTTGGCATGCAGCACTTTTAAAGGGGCAGTAGTGCAGATTCCAGGGGGAAGGGGGGGGGATTGGGTGGTCAGTCCGGCTACCGGTCACGCAACAGTCTGTGATGGTGGTCAGATGATCAGCAGTCTTTCCTGCCCCTCTGGCATGCAGTACATTTAAAGGGACAGTAGGGCAGCAGATCACATGCGTGGGGGGGCCTGGCTACCAGTCACATGACAGCCTATGATGGTGGTCACATGATCAGCAGTCCTTTCTACCCCTTTGGCATGCAGGACTTTTAAAGGGGCAGTAGTGCAGATTCGGGGGGGGGGGGGGAGATTGGGTGGGTGGTCGGGCTGGCTACCGGTCACGCAACAGCCTATGACGGTGGTCAGATGATCAACAGTCCTTCACACCCCACTGGCAATGCAGTACTTTTAAAGGGACAGTAGGGCAGCAGATGACATGGGGGGGGGGGGGGCAGCATACAAAATACAATCTCACTTAGATCCACAGAAAACAGGAAGGGGACAAATCTATACCATCCAATCTATTTCTATCCGATCAGGTTGGCCCTTACAGTACACAGCAGTTGGTGGTCTGGAAATCGTACAACCACATCGCACAGTGTATTGGTAGTTTCTGCTGATCGTCCAATCACATTGTATGGTCGGGGGGAACAGAGATCATCCAACCCGATTGTATAGTTAGGTGGCCCTGTACCCTGGAGTCCCGCTCACCTTGGCCCGGCGCCCCTCCTCTCCCCGGGTGGGTCGGCTCTCCGGGAGCCCCGGCGGTCCAGACTCAGGAACTCGGAGCTGGAGTCGAGCAGGGAGTCGTCCTCGTTGTCGGGAGCGCTCCTGGCCCCGGCCGAGCTCCGTAGTTGCACCATGGCCACCGCCGACTCCTCGCACAGCCGCTTGCCGCCAACACTTCCAAATTCTGGCGCCACAAACCGCCTTCACACACAGCCAGATCCCTCCGCCACCGACCCGCCTACTGATCGCCTCACAGCACGGACACCACCGCCGGCCTACCGAACAGCCGCGAACCCCGCTAGTCCTTACAGAGCTTCACCGAGATCAGTCGAGCTCTCCGGCGGAATGAGCAGTCGAAATGTTTCGGGACTATTAGTCACGGCGCGAAACCGTAGGCGGAGGGATCTATTACTTTTTCCAATGGATTGCAGTTGAGTTTTGGCGCGGAAGATCAAAGATTAATTTGATTGGTTCTCTGTTGAGAGAGCACGCCCCCCAAGCTTGCTGACACGTTCAACACAGGGTCTGGCACAAGGCAGTGGGCGGGGTATGTGTACTGAAGGAGAAATACGCGAGTTGTTTTCCTGCAGGTCCGCCGCTGATTGGCTGGGGGTGGTGGAGGGCATGTGCCGGGGAACTAAAGTTGATGCACCAGGCCGTGTAGTCAGGTGATAGGTTCCGCTTCCTTTTTTCCGGGGGGAAGAATTTAGTGCGACACCGGCTGTTACTGTGTGTAATGGGAGGCATGTGACAATGGAGAGCTGTGCCCCTCTGTAGTCATGACTCCCTCCTGGGACCCGGATATCAGTCCTGGAGTCCTTCCATCCCGAACTGACTGCTGCTACACCAGCTGCTACTGGTAAGAGCACCGATACAGGGGCCAGCCTGCACTGAGTACAGGAACAGATTGCAGAGATCATCCTACCCCCTACAAATCATTAGTATACCTCATCTGGAATGTGCAGTTCAGTTTGGGGAACTGGAGAAAGTACAGAGAATGGGAACCAAACTGATAAGAGGCATGGAGGAGCTCAGCGGAACTGAATTTATTCTCTACTGAGAAGAGGAGATTAAGGGGGGGGGGGGGGATATGATCTCCATGTATAATACATAAGGGGGGATATGATCTCCATGTATAATACATAAGGGGGGGGGGGATATGATCACCATGTATAATACATAAGGGGGGGGGGATATGATCACCATGTATAATACATAAGGGGGGGGGATATGATCACCATGTATAATACATAAGGGGGGGGGATATGATCTCCATGTATAATACATAAGGGGGGATATGATCTCCATGTATAATACATAAGGGGGGGGGGGATATGATCACCATGTATAATACATAAGGGGGGGGGGATATGATCACCATGTATAATACATAAGGGGGGGGGGATATGATCACCATGTATAATACATAAGGGGGGGGATATGATCTCCATGTATAATACATAAGGGGGATATGATCTCCATATATAATACATAAGGGGGGGGATATGATCTCCATGTATAATACATAAGGGGGGGGGGATATGATCTCCATGTATAATACATAAGGGGGGGGATATGATCTCCATGTATAATACATAAGGGGGGGATATGATCTCCATGTATAATACATAAGGGGGGGGATATGATCTCCATGTATAATACATAAGGGGGGGATATGATCTCCATGTATAATACATAAGGGGGGGGGGATATGATCTCCATGTATAATACATAAGGGGGGGATATGATCTCCATGTATAATACATAAGGGGGGGGGAATGATCTCCATGTATAATACATAAGGGGGGGGGGATATGATCTCCATGTATAATACATAAGGGGGGGGGATATGATCTCCATGTATAATACATAAGGGGGATATGATCTCCATATATGTATAATACATAAGGGGGATATGATCTCCATGTATAATACATAAGGGGGGATATGAGCTCCATGTATAATGTATAATACATAAGGGGGGATATGATCTCCATGTATAATACATAAGGGGGGATATGATCTCCATGTATAATACATAAGGGGGGATATGATCTCCATGTATATTACATAAGGGGGGATATGATCTCCATGTATAATACATAAGGGGGATATGATCACCATGTATAATACATAAGGGGAGATATGATCTACGTATAATACATAAGGGGGGGATATGATCACCATGTATAATACATAAGGGGGGGATATGATCTCCATGTATAATACATAAGGGGGGATATGATCTCCATGTATAATACATAAGGGGGGATATGATCTCCATGTATAATACATAAGGGGGGGGGGGATATGATCTCCATGTATAATACATAAGGGGGATATGATCTCCACGTATAATACATAAGGGGGATATGATCTCCACGTATAATACATAAGGGGGATCTCCACGTGTATATAAGATATGATCTCCATGTATAATACATAAGGGGGGATATGATCAACATGTATAAATAAATCAGTGGTTCATATAGTGAACTCTGTGTCATCACAGAGGACAAGGGGGCACTCTTTATGTATGGAGGAAAAGAAATATAAATCTCCAAACATGGAAAGGTTTCTTCACAGTGAGAGCTGTGAAAATGTGGAATAGACTCCTCAAGAGTTGGTTCTGGCCAGCTCAGTGGATTGCTTTAAAAAAGGCCTGGATTCTTTCTTAGATACACAGAATATAACTGGATACTAACATTTATAGGTAAAGTTGATCCAGGGAATATCTGATTGCCTCTCGGGGATCAGGAAGGATTTTTTTCCCCTGCAGGAGCAAATTGGATCATGCTTTGCTGGGTTTTTTTTTGCCTTCCTCTGGATCAACTGCGGGTGTAGGATTATAACTTTTTTTTTTTAACGGTTGAAGTGGATAGACTTTTGTCTCTTTTTCAGCCAGACTAACTATGCTGCCTAACCTGTATAAAGAAGATCTGTGTACTTGCCTATATTTGATTTTATCTGCTCTGGTCCAGTCACTTGGTCCCACAGCTTCAGCTCCAATATGTCAGTGAGCACCTGCTGTAGGGAAGAGAAGGGAGCGCTGACCACGTCTGGGCAATGGGAAGACTGTGAGTGATGTCACAGATCCTCAAATTCCCAACCGATGTCAAGCATTCCTTGAGCTGGTGCTGATCACATGACCGGAGCAGATTAAAAAAAAATAGGTAAGTACACAGATCCTCCTCGGAAAGGGAACTTTTTAAAGTATAGTTACATTTTTCTTCCACTTTAAAGGTTCCGAATCATTCCCCCTCCTCCATCTAAAACTAAAAAAGGTAAAATATTTTGATGAGACATCGGCTTAAAAATTGATGTCAGCGTCTCAGATCTATGCTGCAATGCAACACATTAATTTTCTTTTATTGCACAGTGAAGAAAATGTCTGGAAGCTCTGTGAGCACATCCGAGATCAGAGTGAAAGGCCTCTGCAAGAATTTTATGCTGTGTTCCTGTCCAATGAAAAGAGAATGGTGAGACATACATTTATATATATATATATATATATATCAACTGCCTTAGGGCTCATATGCATGGGTGCTGTGGCCCTTGTAGCGTGAATGAGCTCCTTGTTTGTGTGGTTGGAGCTGCACACAGACAGCCTATGTTTCTCTGAAGATGCAGTGGCTGTACGAACACCTGTATATCGGGTGAATGAGATGTCATTCCATTAAAACCATCAAATTGTCATAATCTGTTTTGCTGTTTGGGGATCCAAATTGTCAATTTTCTTTTTCTCTCTCCTGCAGATACCTATTTGGAAACAGCAATGTGGTAGACGAGATGAACCTGTAATATGGGTGAGTGTCATGCTGGGTTATCTCTTCAATTCTGATGTTGTCAATCAGTTGTACAAATTTAATAGTCTGTGTGAGAGCTGCTCTACCTTCAGCCTGTGACCTTATCAAGATGGCGGCTGCTGAAAATGGCATAATGGGTATCTGATTGAAGAATCCAATGAAGAGTGAAAAGTCCCCAGCGCTCCAGGATTATTCCTCCACTTTAGAGGGGAAGCATCAAGTCACAAGATCCATTCCATAAATTCTAGGTCTCACAGGGACCCTTTCTAAAGGTTACAGAGTAACAATTTATCCCACAGAGGTAGGGACCCTGCAAGGCACTGAACTGTAGGCTTTGGTGCTGGTGACTTCCTACCTGTGAATTGTTCCAGCAGACTGCAGGAGGAACAAGGGGTGCCAAGCATCCGGCACAGTTCTCCAAGGTGAAGTGAGCTGGGAGCGGGTACCCGTCAAAACCAGGTACCCGCTCCTCCCTTCCGCCCCATAAAGTGCCAAATGTGGCAGTGGGGGGAGGCAGACAAGTGGAGCTCTGCTTTAAATGTGGGATCTTTGCTGAGCCTGTGCCAGCTGAGTGAAGAAATAGCCCGAGTGACGACATCGCTGGACCCCTGGACAGGTCAGCATCCTTATAGTACAGTATTTGTAGCTGCTGACTTTAATTTTGTAGAGGGAGCCTGGACCTCCTCTTTAAACCCGGGATCCACCCCTGCTGCCTGGCACTCTCAGCACATCGCTACATACAGTGCTTAGAGCTACTGCAGCACCTAGTGAAGTATATATATTTTTTTTTTTTGGACCAGCTTGGTCCAGATAAACTATTTAAAGTGACAGGAAACATGGATATCAGCTTTAAGGGACAGTCACCGGCTCCCTGCAGACTAAGAACCGAGAACTGAGCAATCAGCAGTGTTTGATCGCTCAGTTCTCAGTCGTGGAGCTGGAGGAGGACAGATGCAACACGGATCGATGCTGTGTTCAGCTAGGTGAGTATAAATGTGGTGTGTGTTTTTTTTATTTTTTTTTTTCTGTTTTTCTTTTATTTAATTCCCAAACTTCTATTTTAGGGGTACTTGAACACAGTGCTGATGTGTGAACGTCAGAATCCTGCCAGAAGGTTCCTGCGTAAAAAACTTGAGGGTGGACTGTACAGTAAATTTGTGTATTTGCACTTTTTTGTGCAAACACCTACACACTGTGTAAATTTTTTTTTCTCTAGCTTTTCTGCTGTCGCACGTGCATATGCGTGTGAAATACTGTTCAGCAATGCAGATTTGTATATTTCCTTTTTTTTTCTGATCTATACGTAGCACAAAAAATGATATGTAAGGGGGGGGGGGGGCGGGTGTTGTGTGTAAAAAATATATAAAATCTTGCACACAGTATGCACATTTCCTTAGGCTCCTGGTGATGTGTAGTGGACCTGCAGGAGAGTGAGGCTAGGTTCATACTATGCTGCACAATAAAATGCAGAGTTTTTTATGTGGGTTTGTGACAGTGCTGGCTCCGGTAGCACTATCATAATTTGAAGTGTCATGTACTGGCACTTCCTGTCACTGCAAAGCTGTGCGATGTGTTCCGCTGCTGTGCAGTGACATCTGGTGACATCCAGTGCGCTGCCGAAAAATGCAAACATGCTGAATTTTATCACACATTACACCAGCCTTGCAGTGTGAATAGGGCACGTAGAAAACAATTGTTTTCTATGTACCCTAGAGGTGACCTGCCTTTATCCGAGGCAGAGAAGTGCGGGTCATCGCTGATAGTATGAACAAGCCCTGAAGAAAATAAAGTATATGTTGCTGGGGTTGCAGAGATCAGCAAAACCTTGTTGTTTTGCTTTAAGACTTTCGTTATTTAAAATATTTACAGCTAAAGCTGCTATTGTGATTGCTGTTTATCAGTTGTACCCATTTGTCTACATTAAAACTGCGGACTGCAGCCAGTTGCCCTCTTGCAGTGTGTCCCCCTCAGCACTGCAAGGGTTAAATGAATTGTTTTGTCTCCGGAATGATTATGGTGAATTATCTGAAAAAACAAGCAAGTGCTTATAACGAAACAAAGCTGCTAAACACCAAAAGGTACTGTATAAAATCTCCAAATAAATAGTAAAAGCAGGGTGTAGCGCTAAAAAACAAATAACGGTAAGCTCACCCCCTATGATTACGTGCGGTCTCACGAAACGCGTCAGTGAGCTACGGAGTTGTGACGTCACGCCGCCGGAGCCAAGAGAGCCCTGGCGGCCATATTCAGATGGTCAGTGTTTTTTGTTTGCCTATACTCATTGTTTGTACTTCACTTGAATAAACATCGCCTGTTTAGAAGATATCACACTATCTGGCCTCTTCTTTTGGAGTTCCTTGTGAGCTACTAATACCCACAGAGCGGCTGCATCACATATGGCAGTGGATACCAGGCAGTGAGGGGCACCTGACTAAGACCAGACCATTGAGGGATCTCCAGTCCTCTGAATTGATATTTCTTAATGCGTATCTGGTGAGTGCGCAATCTTATCATTCTTATCACCATAGCACCAGACTAGACCACTGGACTTTGAAGATCATCTGGATCTCCTGTGCACTTTTCATTGTGGACTATTGTTTGATTTCCTAGTCCTGCACTTTACACTTGATTGGTCACTAAACAGTGACTAGATTATCACTTTATGCTGCAGTTTATTTCAATTTATTTATATTAGCTGGTTTCATGCGTATGGTTTCATGATGTATGCATGCATTTACCATTGATATGGTTTTTGCACCAGTCACTTGATTTTATTATTTGATATAAGTACTGTTATTGTTTTTTAGCGCTACACCCTGCTTTTACTAATTATGGGGAATTATTTACTTATTCATTGCTCCTCTGAAAGCCGGCACTGTCTGATGCTCCCCGGGGGGTAGGTGCGCCTTCAGTATCCTTATGTACAATGCAGGGCTTCTGGTCCTGCATTGTATGTGATGAAGTCAGAGAGCTGAGACCAGTTGGGCAGCGAAGGGAAGCAGTTTTAAGGGGGATCAGTCTATGGGAGTGAGGAATAAGGTAAAGAGAGATTTAATACTTGATTTTTCGTTGTGCCCATAACTTTCTAGATTTGGAAGAAAAGTATAATTTTATTTAGGATTTTTAATAGAAATGGTTATAGTATTTAACATGACAACTGCATTGTGTGGTGCTGTTATTTTGTAAACAAATAATATATACAGTATATTAAATGGATTCCTCCCACTATTGGCTGACTGATTACAGAAGGGGCGTTACACTGCAGTTTGTTTTTCTGGCAGGGAATAATGCGATTGGTTTATGAAACTGCTGTGGAATATGCAGTGGGCATGTACTGTATATGTGTTCAAATAAATATATTGTGGACTTTTTGTGCTTGCAGGACTATCATGTAATCTTGCTCCATGTCTGCAGTGGAGGACAGCGGCTGATCTATGATCTAGATAGTGTGCTGCCATTCCCGTGCCCCTGTGAGTTATATGTTAAGGAAGCTCTCCGATCTGATCAGAATATACGGAAGGACTTCAGAAGGTAAAACATACACCGGTATCTTTGTCTCTATGTACCTGACTGAGCATTATTCTATAGTCTGCTTCAGGCAAAAGCTGGCTACACATAGCAGGGTGCAGAAACCAGATATCACAATTTGTGTCTGTTCATGTCTAATAGAGAGAACATCCAACCTTACAGTTCATGTATGGTAGTGTGATTGGTCACATTCCCCAGAATTGTGGGGTGATTAACCACTTGCCCTCCAGAGGATTTACCCCCCCTTTCTAACCAGGACATTTTTTGCTTTACAGCGCCACGTTACTTTAACTGACAATTGTGCGGTCATGCAATGCTGCACCCAAATGAAATTTATGTCCTTTTTTTAAAATTTTTTCCCTACGAATAGAGCTTTCTTTCAGTGGTATTCGATTGCCTGTACGTTTCATTTTTTGCGCTATAATAATAATAATTAAAATTATTGACAAATTTGAGAAGAAAACAATATTTTTTACTTTTTGCTATTAAACATGTCCAATAAAAAAATTTTAAAAATCATATTTCGGCATAAATTTAGGCCAAAATATGTTCTGCTCCATGTCTTTGCTAAAAAAAAATCCCAATACATGTAAATTAATAGGTTTACGTGAAAGTTAGTGTTTACAAATGGCAGTGTATATATACTGGGATTTTGGGTTTTTTCTACTGGTAATGGTAGCGATCAGCAACTTATAGCTGGACTGCGACGGGCATTCTGACACGAAGGGGAACTGACTTGGTGTCACTGACATCCCCAGTGACACCAATACAGTGATCAGTGCTAATAAAAAGCACTGACACTGTACTAATGGCACTTGGCAGGAAGAGGTTAACGTGGAACGATCAAAGGATTAACTGAGTGCTATTTTACTGTGGCCTGTGTTTTCCACTGTAAGCACACTACTTTGTATGGCTCTGCTATGCAGAGCCATGCAAAGCAGTGTGCAGGAGCGGACAGGGGAGATTGTATTGTATACATTTCTCTTCCTCCATAGCTAATGCTCCGATCAGTGGGTGCCGGCGAGTAGTCACCGGGCAGGACCCGGTGATGGACAACTTAGGCCGCGAATACCCAGAAATGCAAAATCACGTGTATGTATACGTGATTTTGTGCACCCTTGCTGCCCTGTAGCAGAATATCTGCTATAGGGCGGTGGGAGAGCGGTTAAAGATGATGAATACAGGTCAAAACTAGTGTCCAGCTCCTTTTTGGGGTAGGAGATTGCGCTGGACTGACTCAATCGGTCGGTCGCTGGTCAGAGAGTGGGTGTTCATGGGGGCAGGTTGGAAGAATTTTCTTGCAATGATTTCTGCCCAGCACAAAAAAAGGCTATAAGTGCTTTTTTTTTTTTTTTTTTTTTTTTTTTTTTTTTTTTTTTTTTTATCTTTTTGGGGGGGGCATGCTGGGTACAGCCTTAAGGTCGTTCCTGCAAATACTTGTAAAGGTAGGTGAAAAAGAGAGCCCAATATCCAGTGAATGTAAGATGGAAGGTTAGTTTGTAATTTGAGAGTAGCAACAAGTGATCAAGCCAGTGTGTTTCGGGGAACACAGACTCCCCCTCCCTCAGGGGTTGCTGCTGCATACTAGCAATAAATGGGTGCGTCTGTACCACCAAGATCAGAAAAATCATAATATTAACCACTTGCCTACCAGGCACTTATACCCCCTTATTTACCAGGCCAATTTTCAGCTTTCAGCGCTGCCGCACTTTGACAAATTGCGCGGTCATGCAACATTGTACCCATATGAAATTTTGATCATTTTTTTCTCACAAATAGAGCTTTCTTTTGGTGGTATTTAATTGCCACTGGGCGCTTTACTTTTTGCGCTATAAATAAAAAAGTTGCAAAAAATTTGAAAAAAAAAAAAAAAAGTTTCTTTGTTTCTATTATAAAGTTTTTCAAACAGGTAATTTTTCTCCTTCACTGATGTGCGTTGATGAGGCAGCACTGATGGGCACTGATGGGCACTGATAGGCAGCACTAAAGGGCACTGATAGGCAGTACTAATGAGGTGGCACGGATAGGCGGCACTGATAGACAGCACTAATGAGGTGTCACGGATAGGCGGCACTAATATGCAGCACTGATAGGCGGCACTGATAGGTGACACTGATGATGGGTACTGATAGACGGCACTGACTGGCACAACCGCTGGGCACTGACTGGCACAACCGCTGGCCACTGACTGGTAGCACTGACTGGCAGCACTGCTAGGCTGCACAGGTGGGTGGCACTGGTGGGCACAGGTGGGTGGCACTGGTGGGCACAGGTGGGTGGCACTGGTGGGCACAGGTGGGTGGCACTTCTGGGCACAGGTGTGTGACACTGCAGAGTGGCACAGGTGGGTGCACTGCTGGGCACAGGTGGGTGATCTGCTGGGCACAGGTGGGCGGAACTTGCGGGTGTCACTGCTGGGCACCGATCATCAGGGCACTGATCATCAGTGCCCTGATGATCGGTGCCGATCCCCGCTCTGACAACTGCCGGTTCTCGGCAGTACTTTCCTCATGATCTGACAGCGTGAGGAAAGTGCAGCCGAGAAGCGGCACTTGCATTTCCCTCTGATCAGCGTGTCATTGGACACCGCTGATCAGGTGGTAAAAGGCCGCTGTGATTGGCCTTTTACCACATCACGTGATCAGCTGTGTCCGTAGGACACAGCGATCACGGAGATCGCCGGGTGCGCACCCCCTGGGGCGCGCAGGAGAGCGCGTTCTGGGGGGACGTCATATGACGTCCCCCCAGAACTGGCCGGCCACAGTGCAGCCGTCATTTGGCTATCTGCGGTCGGCTACTAGTTAAAGTGACACAAAAGGCAATACTGATTTTTTTTTTTTTTTTTAGGTTTTGGATGGCGTGGGGAGGGATTAGAACACTTGTCAGATATTTATTGCTGTCTGTGCCCCCATAATAGAGAGATTCACCCTCTCTATTTGTCCTGTTTATCATTATCACTGAAAGTGAGAGAAAATATCAAACTATGGGTTTTCATCAGAACAAGAATAGAGTTCTAGTTCTAGTGACCCTGATGACACCCTGGGATACCCTCACTTTGGAGGGATTTCCTCTCATTTCCTGTTTTTTGGGGTTTTTTTTTTAACTATGAGACCGGAAATTAAATATCACCAATAGGATACAGATGGAAAATAAATACTGAGAGGGGTTATAACCCTCTATTGCTCTATCCTAAATTTTACAATAAAAGTTTTGTCTTTAGTTCTACTGGATGATTCAGCTACTTTTAGGGCTTTGGTTTGGAAGAAGAAAAATAATGCAGTGTTGATACTTGAATGTACTATGCACACTAAAAAAAAAAGAGAAAAAAAAATCACGACTTGTGTTTTCATTGTGTAAAATTTGTACATGGCCTTGACATTTTGTAATTATACAGCACATAAATATATATTGATAGGATGAAACCCTGTCACTGTGAGAAAATGTGACACAGGATTCACATTTAAGGTGCAATATTCCAGACTAATGTTTGTGGGCAGAGAAAGCTGCAGATTTGGCATTCTCTGGATTCTGCAGCTGTGGATAGGAACATTCAATCCCATGTCTAGGTTTTTGCTAGACTCCTGCAATCTGGAGTACGCAGGTGTGAGGTGTTGATATATACTCAGGTCTGAGAATAGCTCAGAGCTCCCAGTTGGAGATCACTCCCAGCATGGGAGATGGAAGGTCTCATTGAGGGGTCAGGACTCAGCCGAAAGCCAAGAGACCGAGGTCTCCGTTCCAGGAGTCAGGTCAGCTCCTATAGGGGTGTCAGGAGAACCCCCATCCATAGGCCAGAGGTGGGCCTTACAGCAGGGTACTGTGTCTAAAGGCTAGAGAGCCAAGTATCCAAAGACGTACTGCAACTGAAGCTGAGTGAGCTTATGAGCCAGAAGGCTCAGCATTTTCCAGTGTATGGATTTTTGTTGAAGCTGGAGAAGATCCTCTGCGTGGGAAATCCAATCATTTATGAACTTTCTCTTTTTTTTTTTTCTAAATAAAACTGGGCTACCAAGCCCTTAAAAATAGTTCAGTTCAGTCACATTCTTAGGCTGTCGCACTGCAAACTGCTTTCTTTAAGTCCCACCAGAGGTTCCAATCGGATTTAAGTCTGGTGACGGACCAAAATGTTCCAGCCTTTCCTCTGCAACCATGCTCTAGTGGACTTGAGGTATGCTTGGGATCATTGTCCTGTTGAAAGGTCCAACGTCTCCCAAGCCTCAGGTGTGTGTGACACTGCATCACGTTTCCATCCAATATCTCCTGGTACTGAAGAGAATTCATGGTACCTTGCACACGCTGAAGCTTCCCTGTACCTGCAGAAGCAAAACAGCCCCAAAGCACCATGCTTCACAGTAGGCAAGGTGTTCTTTTCATCATAGGCCTTGTTCTTCCTCCTCCAAACATAGCGTTGATCCATGGGCCCAAACAGTTTCTAATTTTGTTTCATCAGTCCACAGAACACTATCCCACAACTTTTGTGGTTTGTCCACATGGCTTTTGGCATACTGCAGTCGACTCTTCTTATTCTTTGCTAACTATCCCATGTCACAAAATATATAGTTGGGTCCATATATATATGGACACACAGGCACAATTTTTTTATTGTCTGGATTTTTTGACAGGTATTTCCCAAAACAGGTAGCGCAAGATATAGTTTTCATAATAATGGTTATGGGTATTGTTTAACATCTTTGAAAGTTATAGCCATTGCCCTTCCTGTGAAGAGAAATCACCTCTTCTGTCTTCCTGTTCTTGCCTTCAATTTGAGTAGAAGGAGCTGATCCAAATTGCTGAGGAAGGATTGTTCGGTAGGAATTACTGCTCTGAAGAGTAGCTATCCCCCATTTTTCAAGGGACCGAAAGTAATACAATTGGACAATTAAATCAAAAGCTTTTTCATGGCCAGGTGTGGGCTACTCCATTATATCTCCATCCATTAAGCAGGTAAATGGTCTGGAGTTGATTCTAAGTGTGGTATTTGCATTTGGAATCTATTGCTGTGAATCTACATCGTGTATTCAAAGGAGCTGTCCATGCAAGTGGAACAGGCCATTGTAAGGCTTCCAAAACTAAACAAATCCATCATAGACAGCAGCAACATTAGGAGTGGCCAAATCAACAGTTTTTGGTACATTCTGAGGAAAGAAGAATGCACTGGTGAGCTCAGCAAAAAGGCATGGACATCCACGGAAGACAACAGTGGTGGATGATCGCAGGATCCTGTCTACGGTAAAGAAAAAACCCATTCACAACATCCAGAAAAGTAAAGGACACTCTCCAGGAGGTGGGCGTATCATTGTCCAAGTCTACAATCAAGAGAAGACTTCACAAGAGCAAATACAGAGGGTTCACCACAAGGTGCAAACCAATCATAAGCCTGAAGGATAGGAGAGCCAGATTACGCTTTGCCAAAAAACATCTAAAAAAGCCAGACCAGTTCTGGAAAAGCATTCTTTGGACGGATGAAACTAAGATTAATCTGTACCAGAATGATGGGAAGCAAAAAGTCTGGAGAAGGCTTGGAACAGCTCATGATTCAAACATACAACATCATCTGTAAAACATGGTGGAGGCAGTGTGATGGCATGGGCATGCATAGCTTCCAGTGGCACTGGGTCATTGGTGGTTATTGATGATGTGACAGAAGACAGAAGCAGCCGGATGAATTCTGCAGTGTTTACAGATATACTGTCAGCCCAGATTCAGCCAAATGCAGCAAAGTTAATTGGACGACTCTTTACATTACAGATGGACAATGATCCAAAACACACTGCAAAAGCAACCCAGGAACTTTTGAAGGAAAAGAAGTGGAATATTCTGCAATGGCCGACTCAATCACCTGATCTCAACTCAATTGAGCATGCATGTCACTTGCTGAAGGCAAAACTAAAGGCAGACCCACAAAGAACAATTGAAGACAGCTGCAGTTAGAGCCTGGCAAAGCATCAGAAAGGAGGAAACCCAGTCTTTGGTAATGTCCATGGGTTCCAGACTTCAGGCAGTCATTGCCAGTAAAGGATTCTCAACAAAATATTAAAAATGAACATTTTATATATGATATTAATTTGTCCAGTTACATTTGAGCCCCTGAAAATGGAGGTTCTGTGTAAAAAAAATGGTTGCAGTTCCAAAAATTTGTACTTGATTTTATGTTCAACCCCTTGAATTAAAGCTGAAAATCTGCACTTCAAATTTGGATTGTTTGTTTTGTTTGAATTTATTCTGGTAAGATATAATATATATGGCTCAAAAAAATGAAAGCAACACTTTGAAAACACATCAGATCAAAATGGAGAAAAATATCATGTTGGATATCTATACTGATATGGACGGGGTAATATGTTAGGAATGTAAGGTTGCCCCATCGTTTAATGGAAATGAAAATTATCAACCTACAGAGGAATTCAAAGACACCCCGAAAATCAATGTGAAAAAATGATGCAGAAGGCTAGTCCATTTTGCTGAAATTTCATTGCAGCTTCTCAAAATGGTACTCAGTAGTTTGTATGGCCCCCACATGCTTGTATGCATGCCTGACAATGTTGGGGGCTTGCTCCTAATGAGACGACGGATGGTGTCCTGGGGTATTTCCTCCCAGATCTGGACCAGGGCATCACTGAGCTCCTGGACAGTCTGAGGTGCAACCTGGTGGCGTCAGATGGACCAAAATATGATATCTCAGAGGTGTTCTATTGGATTTAGGTCATCCAAGGATTTCATCCCGATACCTAATGACAGTCAGGGTGCCATTGTCTAGCCCTTAGAGGTCTGGGCACAGGACACCAGTGGTGGACCTGCCAATTCTGGTGTTCAGTGCCAAATGCAAATCAAGCTCTATGGTGCCGGGCAGTGAGCACAGGGCCCACTAGAGGACATCTGGTCCTGCTGATGGTTTAAGGACCTTCTATGGCTCTGTCCAGCTCTACTAGAGTAACTGCCTGTCTCCTGGAATCTCCTCCATGCTCTTGAGACTGTGCTGGGAGACGCAGCAAACCTTCCGGCAATGGCACGTTATTGATGTGCCATCCTGGAGGAGTTGGACTGCCTGTGCAACCTCTGTAGAGTCCAGGTATCGCCTCATGCTACTAGTAGTGACACTGACCCTAGCCAAATGCAAAACTAGTGAAAAACAGAAAAGATGAGTAGGGAAAAAAAGTCAGTGGCCTCCACCTGTAAAACCATTCCTGTTTTGGGAGATGTCTCATTGTTGCCCATCTAGTGTACCTGTTGTTAACCGTTTCCGCACCGCCCTATAGCAGAAATACTGCTATAGGGCACGATTCGCTGCCTCGGCTGTCTTTTACCGGGTCCTGCCCAGTGATCAGAGTATTACCGATGGAGAGACCTG